GCTGCTGCTGCTGCTGCTGCTACTATTTTTCTCCTCCTCCCCCTACTCCTCCTCCTCCTCCTTTTACTACTACTTCTACCACTACTGCTGCCACTGCTGCTATTGCTGCTGCTGCTGCTACTACTACTATTTTTCCTCTGCCTCGTCCTCTTTTTCCTCTTCTTCCTCCTGCTCCTCCTATTACTTCTCCTACTCTTCCTCTGTCTCTTACTCTTTTTCCTCTTCCTCCTTCTTCTTCCTCCTCCTATTACTTCTCCTCCTCCTCCTCCTCCTCCTCCTCCTCATCTTCATCTTAATCCTCCTCCTACTCTTCCTTCTCCTACTATTGTGGCATTACATTGACTAAGATTCTGTTTTAAAAGTTATTTCTAATCCCAAATTGTCAATTCTCTCAACAGGTCGCATTTGCTAACAACTGCGGAAAAAACAAAATATGCGAAGTAGATCTGAAAGTGAATGGGAATGTGGGCTTCTCGCACGCAGAACCATGGGACTTTGTGGTGGTCAATTACACCAAGGTAAGCCTTAATCTTTTCGGTGCTGGTTTGGTTGAAGGTCTACTGCTCAATGAAGATCTACCATAAATCCTGCTTGATCAACCTCAGTACTCCACAGTAACGACAGTGCTTTGGGCAAGGGTAGAATTTCGACCAAAGGCAGTGGTGTTACATCAAAGAATTTTTCTGAAGTAAAGATTATGATTGACAAGTAAGTCGCGACAGAGAGTGGCCGGATGGGGGAATATTTTCAAGAAATGAGAGGTGGGCAGGACAGCCCGAGCCCCTTGCCCCCAGATCCCCACCCCACATGCACACACAAAACCCTCTTCCCCCGACAAACTACAACCACCGAAACATTTTAGATCAAGCGAAATAAAGAAATGAGGGCTTAGTATAGGAGCCTGCGTGATCGCATCTTTTATAATGAAGCAATGGGAGTTGTCAACCCTCGTGTGCACCGTGTCCAAGACAACTAAACTGCTGATCACGGTGAAAATGAGAATCCCTTTTCTCTGCCAGGGCCAGTACCTAGAGCTGAGTCTCTCTCTCTCTCTCTCTCTCTCTCTCTCTCTCTCTCTCTCTCTCTCTCTCAGTCAGCTTATTATATAGCAATGATCTTGCATCTCGGCTTCATTTGACGAGTGAGCATTTGTCCTAACACAGCCCTCTTTCAATAGCAACTGACCGTGGACCTGGAAGTGACCAACACCGCTGAGACGTCCTACTGGACTGTGTTCACGGTGACAACAGAGCCACCCATCATCTTCAGGCGCTCCACTTCATCGGTGAAGACCACGTGTCAAGGTGACCAAGCGTCCCTGCCAGAAGGAACTGACAAGACTCTGGCCACAGCAGGGCAGGGGGACAGGACTCACAGCAAGGTGAAATGCAAGCTAGTTTTTGTTGAACATTCGCTTGTAGTATGCAGATCCACAGACAACAAATTCTTATTGAACTCTTCTAGTTTGATCGGTGACATTCTCTCACCCGCACTATCCCCCGCCCCCTGCAAAAATAAGAGAAGTGAAAGTAAATTTAATACTTTAAAAAGAATTATTTCAGGAATTCACAATTGATTTTGGGCAGGTTCACACCCCGGCTTAGTTTCTATGAAGCTGGACAAAAGTAGACCTGGTTCGAATCCCCGGTGAAGCATTCAAGATCGTACTGTTTGGGTCTTATAAAAATGTTGCAAGGCTCTCTGCTGCTTTCGCTCTATAGCAGCAAAGATTGCTTGAGATTGGGGGTTCCTCTTCTTTGCTAATCTTTGTATGTTTAAAGGGGAGCAAAACCACAACCATTCGGTAAATGAACCCCCTGTACACCTCTTCACTTCAGCTCTGCTTCCGTTTATTGTTTTTTCCTTCTTCTTTTTACTTATAGCTTGGTCAAGTGAACCACTTTCAGTATGGCCCAGTTGTGTCAATAATAAGTAAATGTAAATATTTTATGCTCTAACTGATGCAATTCATGTAATATAGCAGGGAACTCCTTCCACTCTGTCGGTCGAGACAAGCTCTGGCTGAGTGAGATACAGCATCCCAGCAGACAGGCAGAGATACTTGATAAATAAACTTCCTCGTTTGAAGATAAAAAACGTTGAATAAAAGCATAAAAAACATTAATTTTTAGTTAGTTTCCAAGGGTTCTCAAGCTATGTAAATCACCCAACTTTGGCGGCCATTTTCTCGCTAATTTTACCTGAGGAATCAGGTGACTCCACCTCCTTAAACCTCAAATATTTTTACTTCTATTCAAGATAGATGTGTATTATTTTTATAGAAAGCTAGGAAAAGCTTAAAGAGGATGTCAAGAACCCCAAATATCCAAAATTTGACGAGCGCCTGATTCCTCTGTGTTGTGACACATATATATGAATAACATTTTGATAAAGTGCCATGAGCTTTTTTCATAATTCTATAGTTATTTATTAAAAATTGTATTCGTTTTGGGTTTAATCTTTCGCTTCTTCAGGTATCCTGCAATTATTACAAGCCACTGGAAAATGGGAGTTCTATTCATTTAACCTTAAAGTTCAGCGTTGACATCCCTGAGTGGAACAAGACCCCCATCAAGATCAAAGCCGTGGTGTTACCGAACGATAAACGCTTCAACCCGGAGACTACCCCAAGAAACAATGAAGTTAACATGATGGCCAATGTTTTCATTATGTCCAATGTCTCTGTTGACGGGTATGGCTGCTTTTCTCTTTAATATAATTTCTTAAATGGAAGACTGGGGAGTCAAGTATCATTTTTCGAGATATGGTATTTTGTAACTGACAGATCATATCCTATTCATAGCGCTCCACAGGGTGCACCTTGTATCACAATTATTATACATTTGCAGAAAACACAATAGTTGATAAATGTTATTTGGCAAACAGCTTTGTAAGTGAGATACTGTTTTGGAGCTTGTTGTTTTGCTGTTTCTAAAAAGTTGCATGTTTGAGATTCTGTCTCTCAAGGTAAAGTCAACACCTTCAATTGTAAAATTCAAAACCAGCCTATCATATATTTCTATGAAGTAAGGACTAGTCTTTATATCTTATTTATCATTTCAGATGTTCAATGACTGCAAAACAGGTCTCACAATAACTACTGTACAAGAATACACACTTATACACACTCACACGCGCGCACACACACA